AATCTGCTCCCCAGACCTGAGACCACGGTGCCCAGAGGAGAGATGATTAGCCTGCCGAGATATCACTCCCTTGCAGAAAAACTCAGTTGACCAACAGGAAGGTCCAGTGGGGCACCTCCTTTCTAGGAGACCAAGGCTACCGGGAGAAGAAAGCTTCAGAGTCAGCAGGCCCACCCTTGATGATTGGTGGGACCCAGGGCAAGAGACTTCCACGTCCCAGCCTAGTTTTGCCACTGGTCCTACGGGTGCTACCACCCATCTTTCTGGATTAAAGCCGAGATAGATAAAACAGGGGATGGTTAGGAAAAGCTCCAGAGAAGAAATAGCCTTTAAGCTGGGACTGGGAGCAGGGGGGCCCCCCTGACAGTGGTAGTGAGGATGGAAAGGGACACCCCGTGGAGGCACCCACCTGCTGAGGCAGGTACCTTCCATGTGATTGGAGGGGAGGGATAGAAGGAAGGAAAAGGTCACAGGCCCAACCTGGAGGGTCCGGAATGTCCTATATTCTTTCAGTGATGAAATACGATCAAGGTTTCCCTTCAAGCAGAATGGGATTTCATCAGACCCATGACATTTTAGAAAAACAGTAGTGGCCCAGGCTCGTAGTGATGAGAGGTGAGGAGAGAGTGACAGTCCAGGTGGGAGTTCCTGTGAGCCCCGTTTGGATATTCAATTCATCTCTGGGGTGTGAGGACAGATCACACTGGTTCTGGGAAAGTAGAACTAGAAAGCGACTTGGAGAGTTGCAGCTGACCCAGAAGAACTGGGGAGCCATTGATGGCAGCAGGGAGCACAGTGACCCAGGTGCACGTGAGGGAGCTGGGCTGGCCCTCGTATTATAGACCTTTTGGATTTGAGATGGGGAGAGATGAACCTCTAAAGCCTAGCCAGGCTGAGGTGGGTGACAAGAAAGTCACAGCAGAAGCATAAGGCTCAAGCTGTCCCCTGCTGAGGTGGCCTGCTCCCTGCACACGTGGCACACACCAGTGAGGTAGTACAGCCATTTGCCAAGTCATTCTTCTTCTTGCTCCTTAGGATGGCAGGCAGAGTGACGCAAAGTAAAAAAAAGTGTTTTATTTTTTTTTGCAGTTTTTGGCTGGGAGCTGGGTTTGAACCTGCCACCTCTGGCATATGGGCCCAGCGCCCTACTCCTTTGAGCCACAGGCACCACCCAGCAATCTTTCTTTTTCTCTTTGACTGTCATCATCATCACTTCCATTTTGAAGAAGAGGAAACCCAGAAATTCAAGAGGCACAAGGACAAGGCTGGAGCGCAGGAACTGGGATCTGGGGGCTTGGATAACATAGATTCCTGACCTGGGGTGGAAGTCGTGACGGCCTGAAATTGGTTGTCTCAGTTTCTGCTCACTGCCACTGGGGCGCTGAGAGTGGGGACAGCAGGGCAGGCAGAGCAGGAGGGCTTCTTACCTGAGTGGGGGTCATGAACTGGGGAATGTGGGGGTGCAATGGGGTGCATTTCAAGGTCGCCACAATGCTGCCACTGCTTGTGCATTTGAGCTTAGGAGGCAGGTCAGTGTAAACCTTCCCAGCACTGATGTTTTGATACTGCGCTCAAGACAGACTGGCCTTGAATCTCAACTCTGCCAATTTCTAGCTGTGCGGCCTTGGACAAATTATTTAAATCTTTCAGGGCCTCAATATCCATATTTGTGAAATAGTTAAACTACCAACCTCAGAGGTGTGGTGCAAAGAGTGGATGAAATCATCACGTGACGTGCCCTGCGCGGTGTCAGCCTCATTGTTCGTCTCAACTCACGGTAGCTACTTAAGATGAGAATATTAATATCTCTCCCAGGAAACCAGCCAGACTTCAACCCTTAGTCTTCCAATTCAGAAATCAGCCTGCGTAGCAAACTTTATGATGAGGAGTTTGGTGGGTTGACCCCTTCCAGAGAGAGGTTACGAGAGAGAACAGCATTTGCAGCCTTACCCGCCCCGTGTGTCCTGCCCCAAGTTCTGCTGACTTTCCCTTTCCGCCCTGCTGGGCTGGTCACCTCAACTCTGGGCCTCAGGGATTCGGCCATCCCCTGAGCAGCTCTGCTCAGTTTCCTCACACCCTCCACATTAGCCGTGTCATTCCTGTTTCCTGTACTCAGGACGTTGACCCTACACGGGACTCCACATGAAGCCCTGCCCACAGCCCTGCTGGGGATATTCCAGCACTCACACCAGGCTGTGCTGTTGAGATCCTCTCTCCATTCCCCGCTCAGCCTTCTGTGTCTGCCTTGCACTCACCTACTTCTGGGTCACCAGTCTCCTTTGGAAGCCGATCTGGCCAGACAGTCTCAGTCTTGATCTCATTCTCCATGAGCTTCATTTTCCAGACGGGAATTCGGATGAAGAAGCTGCCACTTGCACCCTGACAGCCTTCCGCTGATGCCGAGTGGTGCTGATCCCTATTTCTGAGCCCACGTCCCCCTCCCCCTACGGTTGGCTTTTTGAGGGCAGAGCCCAAGAATGCACATTCTCCCCACCAGGGCAGAGCACAACACTTGGCACAGCCCAGGCTGAGCTCCATAAACACGGATGTGAAGTCAACTATGTTAGTCCCGGACTCTAGAGTCAAGTTGGGAATTAGTTTATAATTCAGCTTCTGATCTTTACTAGTTACGTGGCTTTGAGCAAGGTAGTTATTCTTCCTCAAGCTTCCATTTCCTCATCTTTAAAATGATGAAAATAATAGTACAAACACCCAAGAACCATTGTGAGGATTAACCGAGTATGAAGGGCTTAGTTGGCAAAATGCTAGTGAGCACTTGATAGTGCCTGTGACTTACTTGGTTTTCAGCACCACCCTGCAAAGTGATGGAAGCAGACAGTTTCTATGTTGCCACTGAGTAAAGACAGAATCAGAGAAAGGCTGTTCTTAACTCACACAGCCAGGCTTGTCCAGTCTCCCCTGTGGGCAACCTAGAAGTGGGCTGCATTGCTTGAGAACATGACATGCCCACAGGCCTCAGGAAAGATTCCTGTAATTTAAAAATGCAGCAGTAGTATTCAGCCAGACCCGGTGTTAACAATTACTCACACGATCGTTTTTCGCTTGGAGGAGAAAAGATATGATTTATTAAGCAAACTGGCTCTTTCCCTCCAGGAATGATGTCAAATTTTACTTCCAGTTTGCTGCCCTACCCGGAGAATTCACAAAACTGGAGAACAAAATCTCTTGTGCGATTTATTGTATTCTGTTGTGCGGTGGAAAGGTACCTCGGAGGCCATGTGGGCTGTGAGTGGTGAGGGCACTGCCAGGGACAGAGAAGGAATGATTCATGGATCTGGAGCAGAAAAAATAAGTACATAACTATGATTTGTTTGACTGGAATTTTCCCTAATCTGTGTGCTAGCTGGAGCTGATAGACGTTTGTCTTCCCTCTGAGTCTCCTGATTTTCTGTCTGCATCCCGCGTTGGTGCTAATGACCACCAGTTGGGTAGACAGAGATGCCGGGATGAAAGGCTGGGGGTGCGGGTGGGAGGAAAGGTCTTTTCAGCAGCTCCAGGAATAAGGTAAGGTAATGAATGAGATCTGTTTGGCAAAAACACGACACTTAGGGAAGGTGTTTCCAGTGTCGTGGAAAGAATACTAGACCCAGAGTCTGGGGTCGGTCGTTGGCCCATGGTCCAGCCACACTGCTGTCCAGCTGTCTGATGGAGAAGCTGCTTCTCTGGGCTTTAGTCCCCTCGGTTGTGACCTTGGAGAGGCACATGAGCTATGTCTGATTTGTCCTTCTCATATGGCTCATGCGCATGAAACACTTGACAGATGTTTCTGTGTTGAGAGTTTGGCTGTTTTAAATTGGAAGGAGTCTTGGGGGGGTGGGGAAGTGGAGAATCAGTATAGAAAGAAGCAGAACAGTAGAGGGTAGGCAAGAAGAGAGTGCAACGGGGCATTCAGGGAAAGGTGTCCAGGGTCATTTGAAGACCCAAAAGAGGAAAAGTCTAAGTAGCTGTCAGGCTGTTGCTAGGATCATTGGCAGAAAGAAGGGGGGTTGATCACCTTCCCTGTGTATTTAATGCTTCCTGAGAGGATCAGATGAGAAAATGCATAATGTGTGTGTCTCTCAGTGCTTGGGACCCAGTAAGAGATGAGGCCTTCTGCTGTTCGTTCTTCATATTGTCAAAAGAAGCCTTCAGAAGCCTGTTCGTAGCCAGCCGCGGCCCAATGTACCCTTCCTCCCTGATCTCACGCTTTTACACTGCTGTCTTACACACTGGGTGGACGTTGCAGGGGAACTTTAGGTCCGCCCTGTATTTCTTTTTCCTTGTCCCTAAGTGTGGTGTTCTTGCCCAACAGGTCTCATTCATTACCTTACCTTATTCCTGGAGCGACTGAAAAGATCACCTCTTTAAATTCTTCTTCCAGACTGATTTGGTCATCTCCTCCTCAGTTCCCCTGAGTATCACTCACCTCCTTGTATCGTGTTGCCCTGAATTGCTGGTGTATTTGTCTGTTTTCTCCTTGAGGGCAGAGGTTATGACTTACTTCCCATCCTCACTGGTGGCTCTGTGTGTATAGAACAGAATAGGTGTTTGTTTAAACAATATTGATGTATATGGCTAGGCACGGTGGCTCACAACTATGATGCTAGCATCTTGGAGGCAGAGGTGGGAGGATCCTGTGAGCTCAGGGGTTGGAGAGCAGCCTGAACAAGAGTGAGACCCTGTCTCTACTAAAAATGGAAAAATTAGCTGGGTCTTATGGTGGTCACCTGTAGTCCCAGCTACTCTGGAGGCTGAGGCAGGGGGATTGCTTGAGCCCAGGAGTCTGAGTTTGCTATGAGTTAGACTAATGCCATGGTGCTCTAGCCTGGGCTACATAGTGAGACTGTCACAAAAAAAAAAAAAAAAAGGATGTATGAATAATTGGGTGAGTGAGTGGAACTAGTGACTGAACGTCTGTTCATTACCTGGAGCCATCCTAAAAGGCAGTGAATGAACTAAATGTCGAAACTGACTTAGATGTTTCTCCTTTTTCCTTTCAGTGGACACCATTTTCAGAGCCCAACTTCTTGAACAGAAAATGCCAAGGACAGATAATGAGTCCCTCCAGGATCTGAAGTGAGTGAACACTTTGTGGCCAGGACAATCCTGGATGTGGACCAGAAATGGGCAGTCACTTAGCCTGTTGAAGTAAGTGATGAGTCTCTCCCCAGCCCAAGTGGGTGTTTCATCTTTTCTGGTTTCTTTTGTGGATTACGTTGCAGTGGGAGGGGAGATGTTCCCTGTTCCTTGGTCTCTTTGTAACGTGGCCTGCCTCTCCCAGAGACCCTACGGAGAGGAGCGCCCAGGGAGGGAAATACATCCTCCCTCAGGGGACAAATGCAGACCTGTTAGAGTTATGTAATTGGTGGGACCACACCTACGGCGCATCTTACAAGGGTACATGTGAAACTTACTAAATGTAGAATATAAATGTCTTAACACAATAACTAAGAAAATGCCATGAAGGCTGTGTTAACCAGTTTGATGAAAATATTTCAAACTGTATATAAAACCAGCACATTGTACCCCATGACTGCATTAATGTACACAGTGATGATTTAATTAAAAAAAAAAAAAGGGAGGAGAGCTTGTTGAGCTCTCGTGAACACTGGTAAACAAAAACCTGGACTGAGAGCATCATTTGATGACAACTGCGTGTCATCCCAAAGAAGGCCTGGTATTTCCTAGAGCAGGCCTCGGCAAACTGTGGCCCATAGGATGAGCCTGGCCTGGCCTGTTTGTAAATACCGCTTCGTTGGCACACTGCCACCCTTGTTTGTTCAGGTGTTGTCTACAGCTGTTTTCACACCACAACAGCAAGTGTAGTCATTACCACAGAGACTGTGTGGCTGAAAAGCCTGAAATATTTACCTCTTGGTCCTTAACAGAAAAAGCACGCCAACCTTGGTCTAGAGCTGAGCTATCTACGTGCCCTTGCTCCATAAGGGACTATTGCAATTTCAATTAGTTAAAATTAAAAATTCAGCCCTTAAACACACTTATTCCACTTTACATTTGCAGTAGCCATGGGTAGCTTGTGGCTGCCCTGGTGGGTGGCTCAGAGAGAGGATGTTTTCATTGGTGCAGACAGTTGGCTTGGGAGAAACTGTGATCGTGCTAGGATGTGTCACTCCAGCCCAGGTTGGGCATAACTGTAACCAGTGTGACAGAAGAGGGAAGGTGGTGTGTATGCATGTGTGTGCAGCTGTTTTCTTTATAATTATTGGCAAGGACATCCATCTATCTGTAACCATTTATCCATCCTTCCATCCATCCATCTAATGTTACTTTTAAAATTTCTTTGGGGGGCTCGGCGCCTGTGGCTCAAGTGGCTAAGGCTCCAGCCACATGCACCTAAGGTGGCGGGTTCGAATCCAGCCCGGGCCCGCCAAACAACAATGACGGCTGCAATCAAAAAATAGCCAGGCATTGTGGCAGGCGCCTGTAGTCCCAGCTACTTGGGAGGCTGAGGCAGGAGACTCGCTTGAGCCCAGGAGTTGGAGATTGCTGTGAGCTGTGATGCCATGGTACTCTACCCAGGGGGATAGCTTGAGGCTCTGTCTCAAAAAAAAAAAAAAAATTTCTTTGGGGGAGCCAACCTGTGGTCTCTATCTATGTGTGACTCCATGTAAAACTAAGATACTTGCATCTTGGGGTTTATTATTGATAATTCTTTATTACACAAATAGATAGATGTAGATATGAGCTCATGCCCTGCTGTGGTCACAGGAGGGTCACACACCATGTGGGGCACTCCTCTAAGGGGAAGAAGCAGTGGATACAGTGTGCTCAAGGAATGACGATATGAACAAGAGAGATAGGAAACAAGGAGAGGGGAGAATGAGCTAAGATAAGGTATCTCTGAGTCTTGTAAGAAGGAGGAAAAATGGAGACAAAGGGCAGTAAGGTTCATGGTCATGGTCAGGAGTTTATTTTTCAAGAACTTGTTGAACAAAGTAATAATGACTGGGAACTTGGTGAGAGGTTAAAGACTGAAAATAAAAGATTGTTCCGAAACATGAAACGAAAGGAAACAGAGTTCTGTGTGGGCAACAGTGGCCTTTATTCCCACCCAGATGCTGTGCAAGCTGAGTTCCAGAAGGAAGTCAGCCTGTGGGCTAAGGTGGATGTTAATTTAAAAAGGGTTGGAAGGTAGGGGCTGGCACATTCCCCCTTTCCTGGGTGGGACATTCTATTCAGGTGGGTCTGCTCTATTTGGGTGGGTGGGTTCTACTTGGGTGGGTCCCTTCACTTGACTCTATCACTTAGTACAACTGGGAGTTGGACTGAACACAGCCAGCTCTTTACAACAGAGAGGGGGAAAACCTGGGACCTGGTGGAAGGCCCCATCACCTTGCATGGGGCAGGACTGGGGGCATAACAGGAGGTTCAGCTGGGTGTACAAGCCAGAGCAAGTGGGAATAACAAGGGCCAATCACTGTGACACAGTGTTTATGGATAGGACCCAAGAGAGAACAGTGAAGAAAAAGTTCCAGGTGGCCGGTGGGTCTGGACAAAGGACCCAGGGTGGGCTATGTAGGAGCTGGGCTTTCTAATCTTTGGGTTACCCAGGAATTAGCAGGAACAAAGCAGAGTTTCAGTTATGGAGAAAAGACTCAGTTGATATGTATCCTGTTGAAGGAACTCAAGAAAATTCCCAAAATGTGACTCCCTGGTGTAAAGAATATTTTGACTTGAAGGCCATTCAGGGTTAAGAATCACGACAGGGGACCTCCCCTTATCTGCATAAACTGGACTCATCTGATAAGATCAAAGGGGACAACTGAGTCCCCTTCCCCCTTTTTCTGTTATCTCAATATATTTTAGGAATGAAGGTCAAGAACGTGAGGAGACTTTGCCCAAATCATTTAAGTCACGAATAACCTGTCTCCCAGGTTAATTTCCAGGGCAGTCTATTTCTCCCCCATCCATTTGTCCCCCCCCTAGCAACCTCCCTGGCAACAGTTTATTGCCCTATACTCCTTAATTTTGCCCCATCCCTCTAAAAGGTGTGTATAAAGATACTCGAACTGTGTTGGAAAATCGGGTTATCACTCTGTATTGCTCCACGTGGGTATGGGTAAATAATTTTTTTCTCTTTTTAATCTTGCCTTACTTGTGAGTTGATCTTTCAGTGAACTTCTGGGGGAAAGGTCAAGTTTCCTGTCAGCTCTGTGCTTCTAGATCTGATAATGGCCTGTGTCTCTTCTCTTGGTTGGCCTTTAAGCACATCATTGCAGATGAGTATTGGAAGCATTTAAAGAGCCATTTCCATAACACACCTCCAAACAATGGACATTAGTTCATTATAAGTAACATTAATAATGTCATTTTTTTTTTGGTTAATTCTTAGAGCCCAGTACATGAAGAATAATGATAGTGATGACGATGGTAACAGTGACAGCAGTTTCTGTCCGTTTCAGGTTCATTATATGACAGAAGCATTGTTCCGCTAATAATAATTATTATTGTTGTTGCTATTAGTTATTATTCTTATAGCTTTAAATTATTGGGCACATGCAAAGTTCTCAGTATTATATTTATTTTGTTTCATTTAAATGAACCCAGAATATTCTTTTAATTTTTAAATTTAAAAAATTATTTTATTTTTATATTATTACAAATTCACAGAAGAGTTGCCTTAATATCCAAAACATTCCTGGATACCCTTCACCCAGCTTTTCAGATGTGAACATTTTAGTATTTTTTTTTTGTCTTTTTTAAAATATATTTTATCTGAAATCAGAAAATTATCTTATAGCCACAATACAGCTAAGTCAGACACTTACCACTGATTCGATACTATCATCTTCTAATTTGCTGACCTTATTTAGATTTCACTGAGGGCCCCCAATAAAGTCCTTCCTAACAAAAGGAAAATCCAGTTGGCCTGTGTCTTTCTTGGAAAACTTCTTTAGTCTCGTAATTTCGGACGTTGACCTTTTTGGCGAGAGCAGGCCAGTTACTTTTCAGAATGCTCCTCGATTATGGGCTTGTCTGGTGTTTCCTCGTGATTAGATTTAGACAGAGCCTTTATCACTTCTCTCCTTTTGGCCCACATCAAGTGCAGACGTGAGCTTTTGAAAAGATGTCGCAGAACTGATGTTGTGTCCTCCAGCACCCATGTCGGGAAGCCCTGGATGTCACTCCCTCCCTGCCTGTCAGCTGTTAGTCTCAGCATCTAATGGCAATTCCCGTCCCACTGGTTTATTATCATCATGGCTGCCACATGGTGACCTTTCTAATTTCATTGTTTTTCATTTATCAGTCGGCTTCCCACTGTAAAGAACTTTCCTTCCCCCCTTCATCCTTCTCCCTTTTCTTTCTTTCTTCTCTGCTTCCTTCTTTTCTTTAGGTGGATTCGTGGATTTTAACGTTATTCAATAGGTGTGAAGCCTTTGTTATCATTAGTTATTTTGGTATTTAAATTGCCCCAAGTTTGTCCAGTGGGGCTTGACTCATGTGGCTTTTTCAACATTTCCCCATAGTATTTTGAGAACTTTCTTGTTAGCACCACAAACTATTCTAGCCTCATCTGATATTCTCCCACCCCCAGCTGTAGTGTCAGCATTTTGTCAAGGAGCCCTGGTTCCTTTCAGTGGAGAATGGTATTTAGAAACCAAGATCTTGGCACTAGGTGTGCTTATTGCTACTGGGGTAGCATTGCGCCCAGGCCTTCTGAGCAGACAGGTGGCAAGTGCGTGTGGGTGTGGGTGTGGTATATACATACACAGTGTGCACATCATCTATGTCACTTCTGAACTAACCTGGCTATATATTCCACCTGCCATGAGTTCGCACTGATGATGCTTAACCATTCTCAAAATTCATGTCTGTCTGAATGATGGTGAATGATCATTCCACTCCTGCTCCCAACACACCACCAACTACCACATTTATTTGACTATGATCAGGCCCAGTTCCAGACCCTTTCCCTTGGTATTATTGCTAACTTCAACCCAGTGGGTGACACAAGTACAGATGATGAAACCAAGACTCTGAAAAGCTAATTAACTTGTGCTAGCAAAAGTGGCAAGTTCACAGTGTCAGCTTTTGATTAAACGGTCTAAGGAAAGAAACTAGCAAAGCAGGTAGAAGAAGGGTTTGCGCTCACTGACCACAGGTCTCCTAGCAGCAGGCCAGCCAGA